TAATAATAATAATAATAATAATAATAATAATAATAATAATAATAATAATAATAATAATAATAATAATAATAATACTTTTTAATATAGACAAAAATTCTTTACTAATTAATTTAATTCTGTTTGTTTATTTTTTAGTTTATTTTTTTTCTTCAAATCTTATCCGTTTGTGTTTACTTATTATCATTTATTTCGTACGGAGCATTAAGTAGAACTAGCGTAATTTTTAATTATGGTGTAAATATTACCTTTCTCGTAATTTGGAATTATTTCGTGCCCTTTCTCATTCAAATAATACAATGGACATTGATTTACAAGTTAGTTAATTATTCATTATTTATTTATTATTATTATTTTTACATTATCACATTGTTCACATTATTTCACTTTTTTTTTTTCTTTATAGAACTTTTGTATCAGAATCCACAACCAACATCAATAATAATAAAAATTCTAAAAGATCCAGTTATAATAATAATTTCACTATTACCACAAACTTACCACCATTATCGCCACCACTTTCTCCACCGCAACCACTTTTTCCACCACCACCACCATCTCTATCACAATCATCGTCAATGCCTTCATCTCCTTCTTCAAGAAATAAAAAATTCTTACATCAAAGATACTCTTATAATGAAGAATTACTTTCTTCAAAAGTCAACACAAAAATTAATAACAGAGCAGTTTCATTAAATACTAATTCTTTATACTTTAATTATCATTCTACTTCTTCTGAATTAATAACGAAGACAGGACCAAGTATTATTAGTAATAGTAGTGGTATTAGAATGAATAATAATAATAGTAATAACAGTAGTCCAAGACATTCAAAACATTTTTTTTCTTATTCAGATGGAACAAATTTAATTACTTCTAGGTACAGCAACAACGGTAATAATGTTAGTAATAACAACAACAACAATAATAATGATTCTGGAATCAGTAATATGAAGAAAGAATTAAAGAAACCTCAATCTGTTATAATTAATAGAGACAACAAAAAATAACTTATTTAATTTTGTATAGTAATAATCAAAAATTTAGAATTTTTATTATGTAATGTATATATGAAATATCCATCATAAAAATAAAAAAATTCATATTTCTAAAAAAAAGAGGGAATCCAAAGGATATTAGAAAATTAAGTTAAGACTTTTTTTTTTGAAAGAAAGAAAAGTAAAGAACTTTATAGATGTCAAATATTGAATTCACAATATAAATTGTATGAAAAGAATAAATCAAAAGATTCACATATCTATAATAATTTACTAAATATTTTTATATTTTTCTCTCACAAATACGATGATGATGATTATTATTATTATTATTATTATAATATATATTTTAACATATTTCCACTTTTTTTTTTTAAACCAAGAAAACTGCTACTACCAAAATACTAAATAAAAGTTGATAACTGGAAGTGATTACGGAATTAGCTGAACTTGCGGTAGGAGGCACAAAACCTGTCGGCAAGACAATCACACTAGAAGTTGGTCCTACAGTAACCTTAGGTTTCTCAGTTTCCACAGGTGGGGTTACAGTAGTTTCTGTGGGATATGTCTCTGTGGGATATGTCTCTGTGGGATATGTCTCTGTGGGAGAGGTTTCTATGGTATAGGACTCCGTGGGAGAATGTTCTGGGGGATATGTCTCTGTGGGAGAGGACTCCGTGGGAGAATGTTCTGGGGGATATGTCTCTGTGGGGGAGGTCTCTGTGGGAGAGGGAGGGATTATAGAGGTTTCTGTAGTTTCTGTAATTTTTGTGGGAGTAACTTCGGTTTGAGAGGTGGTTATACTGGTTTCTGTAGTTGTTGAAGGAGAGACTTTGATTGTAGAGGTATCGGTTTCAGTAGTAGGAGATGCGGTAATGGTTATAATGGAAACGGAGGTAACAGTTGTTGTTTCAATGACAGTAGTTACTGTGGAAAGTGAAGAAAGATTTCAAAAGAAGCGTAAGTATTCCTGTAGGACAATTTCAAAAGCAATGAATATATATACGAAAGTGGTTTCTTTGGATGTGATTGATGTAAGGTGTGTCAAAGTTTCTAATGATACGCAGGAATGATTTTGTTTAAAGTGGAATAGTGGAAATAAATACCTTGCGCGTCCTCTATTAAAATAATAAAAGCAAAAACGAAAGAATAAAATTAAAAGTTAATAAACTAGATAATAATAACCGTTTTAATAATGATAAAATTTATTTCCAATCAAAAAAAGACTTACGAGCCGAGACAAAAGTGATGAAAATCAAAAGAAGAGGCAATAAAGTAATAAAAAGTCGAGACATGGTGAGAGATTTTATTAAATTGAATTGGAGAATAGAAATATAATATATGTATTAAAGTTTATTATTATTATTATAAATAACAAATCACGGAAAAAGAAAAAAATTTTTTTAGACAAAAAAAAAGACAGATTTATATAGGAAACTTTTTCTTGATTACATCTTTATGAGAAGGATGAAAAATTTCAGTACGATTTTTTCCGAAACCGCCTTCTGGGGTAGAAATGATATCATTTCTTGGAAACTATCCCATTTATAGTTTTATTTAAGAAATTCATATGTTTATACTTAAAGGAACGTTTAGACATGATAATATTTTGTAATTTATTCGTAGTTCGCGTAAAATAACGTGCTCGTGACTTTTCTTGGTATTTTACTATTTAATTTTATTAAATTTTGTTTTACCAGATGAAGTATAAATTAAATAAAAAAGTATTTTTAGTAATTAAAGTCCAAATTGTGGAGTTGATTTTGGCTGGTGGATAATTTTTTTTTATAACTTTATTTACGAAATTTACGAAATTTACGAAATTACGTAATTATACTCTAAGATCAAATAACGTTATACTTTTAATATATTTTTAATATATTATTTATTATATATTTATTATATTTTTTATTATATTATAATATTGTATAATATTATGATGTTATTATTTTTGAAAAAATATATATAAAATATAAATTAAAATTGCCGAATATATATATATTTAATAGTTTATATACACACATCAAAATAAATGAATCTTTGATGTGATCTTTAAAGTAAAAAAAAAAGTTAATTAATCATGAGAAAATTCCCTTTTCACGTCACGTTTTAAAATGAAATAAAATACAAAGTTTTTTTCTATAAATCTTTTAATTAATGTTTAATAAAATAATACTTGTGAATATCAATTATTATATTAAAAAATTTTTGATGAATTTAATGCTAAATAAAGATTTTTATGTTATATAAATTTTTTATTATGTTGTATATAAAATTTTTTTTTTAATGCTATATAGCTAAACATAATTTTCCATCACGATTATCCTCATGATTTGTCTGTACATGATTATTATCATCATCATCTATTCCCACTAATTCTTCTATACATAATCGCATTTCTTCCATTCGATATGGTTTAGTTAAAAATCCATCCATACCGTATTGTCGACATTTATCTTTTTCTTTATCTAAAACACTACCTGTACACGCTACTATAGGTAAATGCCTATGACTAGGATGTGGCGGTGGCGGTGGCGGTGGTGGTGGTTGTTGTTGTTTATGAGATGATGATGATGATAATAATTCAAAACCTGGTGGAGATAAAGAAATTATAGTACTTGAAGATGAAAAAGATGTTAAAGTTGTCGTCGTCGTCGTCGTTTTTGGCGATGATGATGGTGATGTACATGATACAAAAGCACATGACATAATGTTCGTATGTTCACGTATTGATGGTAAATCCGTTTGAGTAGATTGTCCGGATGATATTGTTCTAGATGAAGAACATCGATTTGAATCACATTGTGATAACCTTCGTTCTGCTTCTCTTATTAGACGTGCCAAAGTATATCCATCCTTTAAAAAAATCAAATAAAAAAATAATACAAAATTTTTAGTTATTTAAAAATATAATCTATTAATTTTTTTTTTATGATAAAAGGTAAAAAGATAAAAATGTCGTACCATATACGGCATTTGAAGATCAACGAAAAGAATATCAAAAGATTTATTCTTCATTTTTTCTAATGCTTCGACACCATTAGCTGCAATAGTAACTTCTTCTCCCATTTTTTCCAAATATTTCATAGCAATTTGTTGATTTACTTCATTATCATCTACCATTAATACTTTTGTAGGTTTTTTACGTTTACGTGAACAACCAAATTTATTAATATCATTCCCAACCGATGAAAGTCCTGATGAAATTGTTGATAATGAACGTATTGATGTAATATTATCTGATGTAGGTATTCGTCGTCTTTTAAATATCTTTTTTCGTTCATAACCAAATGTATCGGATTTATTATTATTATTATTATTATTATTATTATTATTATTATTATTATTATTATTATTATTACTACTATTACTATTGTTATTATAATTATTATTATAATTATTACTATTATTATAATTATTACTATTATTATTACTATTATTATTATTATTATTATTATTACCTTCAGATAATAATGAATAAGATCTTTTCCATAAAGCATTCTTAAGAGCTTTCTCTTTATCCATAATTTCATTATATTTTTCATGATTTATTTCATGATTATTATTCTTCTTTTCAATATTATTATTCTTCTTTTCAATATTATTATTATTTTTTTCAATATTATTATTCTTCTTCTTCTTTTCGATATTATTATTCTTTTCGGTATAATTATTATTTGATTTTTCATTTACTCCATTTATTCCTGAATCATTTTCATCATCCAAATCTTCAGGCATAGAAGTATAAATTGGAAACGTGAACCAAAATTTACTACCATTCCCGACCATACTTTCGACGCCAACTTTACCACCCATTTTATCAGCCAATTCTTTACATATACATAAACCTAAACCTGAACTTCTTTGTGATTGAGTTGATTGTTGATGACTCATATGACCGGAATGACTATTAATATTACCATCAACAAATATTTCATTATTATTATTTTTATGAATTTCACCAAATGACGATACCAATTTAGAATAAGGAAGGAAAAGACGTTTCAAATTTTTTTGAGGAATACCCGGACCAGTATCTTCTACCGAACATTTTGCCATAAAACCATCTTTTCCATCTGGTAATTTATCTTCATCAATTTCAAGTATAACCGTTACCGAACCAGATCCTGTATGTTTGATTGCATTGGTCAAATAATTTAATAGAATTTTCCTTATAGTATCTTCATCACCATACCATTCAATTTCTGATTTATTATTATTATTATTATTATTATTATTGTTATTATTATTATTATTACTATTACTATTATTACTATTACTATTACTATTATAATTATAATTATAATTATTATTATAATTATTATTATTATTATTAATTGAATCTTCCTTGTTTTCACCGTTATTTTGGTTATTATTTAAAATTTTTTGTAAAAATGTTAAATTATCTTTTAATCTTAATTCAGTTCCTTTATTTTTGGCCAATACGGTAACGGTCAAAAAACAAAATTCCACCACTTCACTTAAACGTAAAGGACCTATTTCGGAAATATATGTACCATGGGATTGAGTTTGACATAAATCGAGAGATTGATTAAGAATGTTACACATGTGATTACTTATGGAAGAAATTGCCTCAGCGTAATCACGTTGTTGTTTTGTTAATTCAGTATCCAAAATCATTGTCGTGTAACCGATTATTCCATTTAATGGATTACGAAGTTCTAAATCAAAGTTATTGTTATTGTTATTATTATTTGATTATTATTTTGATTAATTTTAATTATTATTATTATTACTATTATTATTATTATTATTATTATTATTATTATTATTATTATTATTATTATTATTATTATTATTATTATTGACTGTTTCTATTTAGAATGTTATAAATATATATAAATCAAAATATCTCCAATAAAAAAATCAAGCATACCGTGACATATAAATGAAACGAAATTATTGGTCACATCATTATGTGAATCGGAATCGACGACAGAATTAGATATCAATTTACGACAAATAATTGCTTGATCTGGAATTAACCCACGATTTTCTAAAATATGATCAGTTGTATCAGTAATATCAAAACCTACGAATGACCAAGCCCCATTTTGTTGAATTCCTTGTGACCAAATTTCTAATAAACAATAAGTTCCATCCTTTCGTTTATGACGAAAGCATTGTCTTTGTAGAGTTATACCATAAGGTTCCGAAGCACGTTTTGAATGATACATTCTAACTTCCGTAGCATCATCCGGATGTATATAGGAATAACCATCAATTCCTAATAATTCATTTGAATCAAATCCTAAAATATGTTTACAAGATCTCGATACTTCAATTATCATACCCATTACATCATATGTTATAGTAATACGTTTATCAACTTCACTAAGAACGTAATCCACAAATGTTGAGTTCGTTACATCCCTTATTGTACTAATTAAAACTATATTTTTTGAGTTATCTACAATATCTTCGGTTGAAGGATCGACGACGACGACAAATTGATTATCATTTTTAATATCATCAATATTATTAATATTATTATTAATATTATGATTAATATTATTATTAATATTATTAATATTATTAATATTTTCAACAACATTATAATTTATATAATTAAAATCATCTTCTGTACCCTCTAAAGCATCATAAAATTGTTCATCGTCGTCTACTTCTTTCACATCGGTCATATTTACAATATTGTCATTGTTATTATTGTGAAATTCAATTGTATTATTAATGTGATTATTAATGTGATTATTATTTTGATTAATATTATTAATATTATTAATGTTATTATTACCAATGTTATTACCAATGTTATTAATAATATTATTGTCATTATCATCGTTGTTTAATTTAATATTTTCTGGTAAAACGCAAGATCGCGTTGAAAATTCTAATTTAATTGGTATTTTGTTTTTATAAGTTCTAAATTTGAATGTTCGAGAGATTTCGACACCTTTTGTTTTAGGAGCAGCAGCATTGTTTATGAGATGATTATGTAATGAAGCAGCTTCGTATGAATCTAAAGGATCAAATAATGAAGTATAATGATCGCCTTTACAAATTCCTAAACCATTACTATTACTATTATTATTATTGTCGTAATCATCATCGTCATCATCATCATTATTGTCGTTGTTATAATTTGAAATTGAAATTGGTCTATTATTATTATTATTATTATTATTATTATTATTATTATTATTATTATTATTACGAATATTATTTCTTTCCAATAAGCCCAAAACTGATTTATTAACATAAATAATGTGACCACGTAAATCAGTCACTAGAGTTGGTGCAGCATTATCAAGTATAGTTGCTTCCATGTTGCTCTATTGCTACTTAACCTTTTTGTTTTATTTGTCACGTGAAATTTTTAGTTATTTATAATTTTTGAATATGAGTTATTTACTTGTATTAGTTGAATTTATTTTTATGCCTTGATTAAATGAAAAAAAAAAAACAATATAATTAATCTGATTAAAATAAAAAATTAATTTATACAAATTAATAATGTTTCATACGTGTAGAAAAAAAGATTTGCTCTTTTGGTTTTCTCTAAATAATAATAAATTATATAGAGAGATATATAAAAAGGGAGTTAGAAATTTTTTTTTGTATTAAATCTGATTAACCTGATTCGTGAAATTCATAAGTTGATCCAACAAATCAAATTTTTATATTTTCGATCATATTTTTTTTATCGAACCAAATTTCTTTTTTTTTTAAATAAACCCTTTTCTATTTGATATTTTAAAGAAAAGATAATAATTACCTTTGATGAATTTTTAAATCTTTTTTATTCTGTGTATGTAATGTGTGTAAATATATATATATACACGTATACGTATATCAGTAATTATATGTAAGCGAAACGTGCATATAATATATAGTACACCTTATATTATATAAATAAGTCGTCCTATTTAAAAAAAATTATATTCCAGATTATATTCCAGATTATATTCTAATATAATGAGGAAATAAGATTCGAATAAATATAATAATAATAATAAAATCACGGAGTTATTTTAACAAACAATAGTTGTATTATTATTATTATTTTTTTTCAAGAGAAAAAAAAAAAGAAGAAAAGAAAGAAAGAGAAAGAAAAGGGATGAAAAAAAAAAATCAACAAAACTGGGAAAAAGGTAAAATAACAAGAAAATACTTGCATGATATTGGTAAATAAGAGCTGTTATTAGTAATCGTTAATGACTTCGATTTTCCGGGGACTAATATATTATTAAAAAGGGTTGGATACGTCCGGGAATTTGAAGAATTATTAGAATTATTATTGTTATTATTATTATTATTACAATATATTTATTTTTTTTTTATTGAAAATAAAAATGCTCATTTCATTTTCATTTTTAAATTCATTTTGAACTCACCCACCGATGACATCTAATTATTATTATTTTATTATCAAAATTAAATAAATTTTTTTTCCTGTACAGTATAAAAAAAGAGCCAAATTAAGTTAAACACTTGCACTAATAACTCTTTTTTAGAGTGAATATGCATTTTAACTTGTATTACTTTTTTGCGCATTTATGATGTCACGATTACGTCATGTGTAACTTAGGTAAGGTGTCATAAGCAGTAGAATTCCCTCTATGACGATTATGACGATTGATAATTTAAAATAATTTAAAATAATTTAAAATAATTTAGATAAGGAATGATAATTTAATAAAATAATTGGTAAGACAAAAAAGACTTTGAGTTGAGATGTTCAAAGCCCATGCATAGCCGAAATTAATCACGTGATCGAATTTGTTTAATATACTGTATTTAGGGATTTGTAAAATATTTATACATTAAATTTTAAAATAAAAAAAAAAATAATAATAAAATAATAATAAAATAATAATAAAATAATAATATGGAACAAACTTATAATTCGCTTGCAAATTATCTCATGAAAAAGTTAACATCGTTAGTAATAATTTTACTATTATTATAATTATTATTTATTTTTCTTATTTTGTTTATATTATATTTATACAAATTAAAAAAAATTCGATGATGATAATATGATATCTTAGACTTTCAGCTGAGAATAGATATCTTGTCTCCATCGCAGGGGTTCCTGGGTCAGGTAAAGTATGTTGTTATTATTTTATTATTATTATTATTATTATTTATTATTATTATTTATAGAATTTCATTATAATAATTATAATAATTATAATAATATAATAATTATATATATCTCTCTATATCTCTCTTTCAAATAGGGAAAACAACTTTATCCAAAAATCTGATTCAACGCATAAATCATCTGATGGGAAAGAATAGTTCTATTGTTATTCCTATGGATGGATTTCATTATTCCAAAAAAGAATTAACCAATTTTTTGGTATGATAATAAAAATTTTGTGATGAATGTTTGTTTGATAGAGAAATAAGAATCTTCCTTTTTTTTAAAAAAAAAAAATCCATTCCCTTTCTGTTCTTTCATGATGTCATATTATGATGGTTATGATGGTACCATGATGCATTATTATCAATATTTCATCCTTATTATTATTATTGTTATTAAACATTTTTAATCAATAATAAATAATAAACAACAATAAACAATAATAAATAATAAAAATAATCATAGAATGTTGAAGAAGCATTTTCTCGACGAGGAGCACATTGGACTTTTGATGTAAAAGGTTATTTATAGTTCATTCATTTATTCAATTTCTATTTATATATTCAAAAAAAATTTTTTTATTCATTTATACATTTACATATACATATATATATTATATTATATATATATATATTTATTTATTCATTTTTATATATTATATTTTTACAAGGTCTCCTTACTCTTATTGAAAAGCTCCGTCTTCCAATTAATGAAGATCTAACTATCAATGCACCATCATTTGATCATTCAAAGGGTGATCCCGAACCAGATGACATAAAGGTTTTACCCAGGTTTAAAGAAAAAATTTGTTTTTTTTTTCTAAATGATAAAACATTTTTAAAAAAATATATTTTTTTTAATCTACTTTTCATAGCTTATCTTATATATCTATATATATTGAAATGTTGGGTTAAATTATTATTATTATAGTCATAAAATCATAATTATCGAAGGTCTTTATCTTCACTTAAAAACACCACCAATGTGGAACCCAATTGCATCACATATGGATGACACGTGGTTCATTCATGTGGATCAAGAAATTGCCAAAGAAAGAATCATTAAGAGACATATCAAAACCCGTATTGGTATTAATTAATTAATTATTAATTATTTTTAATTATTTTTAGTTATTATTTTTTTTTTAATTAATTAAATTAATTATCCTTATTTTATATGTATCGAAAAAAAAAAAGCTGAAAATGAGGAACAAGCAATTTTTAGGATTGAAAATAATGATATGATCAATGCAGATTATATTTTAAAAAATAGTTCACCTCCCACTAGAATTATATATAGTATTGATGATGAATCAAATATGAAAACATGATCAAAAATTTGTAATTTGAATGAATGTAAATTATATTATTAATAATATTTAATAGTATTATTAATAGTATTATTTAATATGATTATTATTATTATCAATAAAAAAAATGGATAATTAACAATTAAACAAAACCCTGAAATTTAATCTAAATCAATGAATTTTTTGAATAAAATTTATTCATATTAAAAAATATAAATATAATACAAGATTATAATAATAAAAAATGAATGTTTGTTAGTATTCAAAGATAAGTAAAAAGAATTTATTTAATGAATAAATTACATAATAATAATGATGATGATGATGATAATAATAATAAATAAATATATATAAATGCATAACATAAAATAAATTTCTATTGAAATAATTTACAATGATATATAAAAATATACAAATATTTTGATAATCTAATGGGGTTGCACAAATCGTGTATGGATTCCCAAAATCCAATATAACAATCTACAATCTACAATCTACAATCTACCACCTAGTGGAAGCAATCCATATTTTGTGAACAGGAAGGGATGAACAGATATCGATCATATCGATCCCAATCCCATGTGTGAACCCATCCAATAATATAGCTTAAATATTATTATCGATATTTATAGATAAACTATTGTTACGTGAATGTGAACTTCGCCTTGATCCGAATCCATTGTTATTGTTATTATTAATATTATTATTGTTATTATTAATATTATTATTGTTATTATTAATATTATTATTGATATTATTATTGATGTTATTGTTATTAATATTATTATTAATGTTATTATTATTATTAATGTTATTATTATTAATGTTATTATTAATAATGTTGTTATTAGTTTTAGAATATTGAAAAGGTGAGTGAAGATAATCAATGTTTCCTTCATTCCAATTTCTTAAAGCCGTAGGTGGAGTTAATATTGTATCATCAATATAATCACCATCATAATTATAATCATCATTATTATTGTTATTATTATTATCATTAGTATTATTATTATTATTATTATTATTATTATTACTGTTAGTGTTGTTGTTATTGCCTTCCCCCGCGTCATAAAAATTCGGGACATTTTCATACCTTCGCAATCGAAATCCTGATAAATAATGACGACTAAGAGTTTGTTCTAAGAACCAAAATTTTTCATTAATTCTTGCTTCAACTTTTTTCATTACTTCGAATTCATTGTTATGATTGTTGTTGTTGTTGTTGTTGGGTGATATGAGTGATATGGGTGACATGGAAGAAGTGGTTCTCGTTGTTGTTGTTGTTGGTATTGTTGGCGATTGTGATCTCATTGTTGGTGTTGCAATACCGAAACTTGTAAAATAATATTGAGAACTATGACCAGTTGATTCTCCTGAATAAAAGTTATTATTATTATTATCAATATTATTATCATTATTGTTATTATTATTATTGTTTTTATAATAATAATTTAAATGTTGTTGTGATGATGGTGATGATAATGATAGTGATGATAATGATTGTTGTGAGAATTGTGAATGTTGTTGTTGTTCTTCTAAAATATTAGGATGTTGATTATTTTTTAAATTCGGTGAAGTTCTTAAAACATATCGTTGCATTATTCCCCAAGATTTATATTTCCCATGTCCAAATAAAAATGTCCAAATTGCAATTGTATAAGTAAGCAATCCTCCAATTGCAACAACTAAATCATAATAATTATAAGGTTTTTTTTCGATATATTTGATTACCTATAAATTATATATATATATATATATTATTATATATTAATATTAATATTTAAAGTTATTTAAAGTTACTTAAAGTTACTTAAAGTTACTTAAAGTTACTTAAAGTTATTTAAAGTTAACTTACATTATAATTATCAGGAGAATATAAAAATCTGGCCATAATCTTTTTGTTAGAAAATTGACTTTGAACTAAAATGTTTTGTTTGTTTATTACGAAATTAGGATAAACATTTCCATAAACATCAACTTTTTCTGATCTAGTATAAGTGAAACTATTTATTGATGGTACTGGTCCTATAAAAGGCTCAACATTTTTAATATCTATAGTTTCATCAAAAAGTCCGAACATAATTCCATTATTATCTTTGATTGTATCATTATTATCTTCTTTATATGCGATAATAATAAATTGATCAAGAATTCCTCTTTGAAATGAAAAACTTTCAAAAGGTCGAAAAATGTAACATGACCAAGGTCCCGTTGCGGATGTCCAATCCCCGGAATTTAAATTTTCGGTAGTTGTTTGGGTTGTATAATTTTCAATCGAAATATTAATTGCTTTATTATTTACCAATTTTTCAATAGTTATTCCTGTTAAATATTTGCTACAAATGAATACATTCAGGGAAGTAATTCCCGAACTAGTACGATTTTCGACTTTTATAGAAACCAATGGATCCCCATTCTTAAACCCAGTAACAATCAATATTTTTGGTAAAGATAAATAAATTATGAGTCCACAAAATATTAAAGCACATGTAAATCTTAATATTATTTCTTTTCTATCTTGATAATATGAAAAGAACTTTTTGATGGCCATTCCTTTATCTCTAACTATATATAACTATTATATATATATATAACTCTATATAATTCAATATATATCTATATCTATATATACTATATATATTACGTATCTTTAAGTTTTTAATTTATTTAATTTTTATTGAAACAGAATTGAAAGAAGAATTGAATCGAAAAAGAAATGGAAAAGGAATGAGAAAAGCAATAATAATATAATAATAACTGATAATTATATAATATTATATTATAACTGTTATTATTATTATGTGATCAAAATAAAATATTTTTCGAAAAAAATAAAAAAAAAAAAATAAAAAATAAAATTAAATAAAAAAAATGAAAAAGGGAAGAAACTTCTAAATATATGTATTTGTAATAACAGATCAAATATTGAATCTTTATTTTTGGGTCTGACCCAATATCCCGTCTCACGTCACACGCTTTTTTTTTCAATTATTTTCAATATTTACCCTATTTTTGGATAATATTGTCATTATTCATTGTGAACAAATATGGGTTAATTCTTTATTTTTTTCTTTATTTTCTTCCCTTTGTTTCATCTAACAACAATTATTAATAATAATAATGATAATAATAATAATAATAATTAGCGTATAAAGAATATAAAGATTTATATAATAAGTATTACCAATTAAAATAATTTTAGAAATGATAAGTGCAAAACAAACTTTATATCGAATATATAATGATCGAATGTATTGATCGTCATACATATAATATATATTTTTTCTATTTTTAAAACTTCCTACACATGGTAAAAATCATCATAGGGACTATATTTGTTTATTTATTTAATTTATTTTTTTCTTCTTTTTTTTCTCTTTTTGATATGATATTTTGGTTAGTTCCTTTTTCCCAGAATAATTCTAAAATTAGTGTCAAAAAATCAAGAAAATGAAAAATTTAAGAAATTAAAAATAATTAAATAATAATAATAATTATTAGTGTTAGAGTACATATTCCTCACCCGGGCAAATTTTTAATCGAGTTAAATGTGACAAATAGCCAAAAAATATATGACAATAAAAATTGATAATCCAGACGGTGTGTGAGAAATTCATGGTATAATAGAATTTTACAAAAAAGTAAATTTCTGTTTAAATGAATAAAAAAAGAATTTCTTTGCTTGTAACAGATAATACAATGTGATACAGGTAATAGTAATAATGTACAATTTTCAAAAGATAAATTTTTTTTTTTTTTAAAAAAAAAAAGAGAAATTATTTTTCGATTTAAGATAGATTTATGAGGGTAAAAAATAAACTAAAAATATTTAATAATAAAAGAATGTAAATTTAAATTTTGTTATTCTATGCTTGCTATCTAAATGCTTATTTTTGTTTAAAAAGCTAATTCTCCAAATCATTCATATTCCATATTCCACTATCAACCCCATCAATTTCACAACTTATTACATCTCTTTCTCCTATTGAAATATCAAGAGTAGTCATTCTAAATGATTTACGTTTTATAAATAGTAATAAATTTTTTGAAGGTGTCATTCCTACTACCATGATAACAGAATATCTTAACATCACATCTATATAAGCTGTTATTTGCCAATAATAACTACCAGGTCCACCTAATAAATTAGTTGTTAAATAAAAAGGTATAGAAATCAATGCTACTATTCCTAATGTTATCATATAATAAATACCGACCGCTGCGATTGTGGGATTTAATTGTTTTTTTCTATGATTATTTCTGTTATTATTATTATTATTATTATTATTATTATTTGTTTTAATAGTCGAAAATATTGGTGCAAATGAGTAAGTTAATGCGAAGCATCCCGAGATAATAAATGAAAAAATCGTTGTAATAAATCCTAATGTTTTAAGTAAATTATTACTTTCTAACATAATTAATACAATTGAAATCACACAAATAATATTTGCTGCCGATAAAAATATTATTGCTAATTTATATAATGTAGTATTATAATAATTTTGAGGATAAAATTTACTAATGAATATATTATTAGATAAATAATAATTATTATTATTTAATGAATAAAGATATAAATATAGTTATTACAAATATAAATATATTACCTCTTTCCTATATCCATTATGCATAATATTGATGCTGATGAATATATTGAAGTGATTAATCTATATTATAAAAAAAAATTATTTAAATATTTAACAATTAAGAATAATTAAGAATAATAATTAAGAATAATTAAAAATAATTTAAAGGAAATTTAGTACTTACAAATAAGAATTTGTATACCACTTAAGTTCAGGACTACCAAAAAATGATCTCGTAAATGCAAGTAGTAATGATGATATATGTAAAGGTACACATAATAAACTAATTAGGTTAGGAAAAATAATCAAATGAAGAAAAGTCAATAAATGCTACAAAAAATATATATCTTTATAGTTATTCGCATGATGTTTGACATTTGCCAGAATATCAGTAATTATTCGAACAACTAATTTATTATTATTATTATTATTATTATAATTATAATTAAATTTACCAAGTTATTCGTAATTTATTCGGTATAATATATGTTTGATATCCTATAGCGACCGTACATGCTATTGCTATTATAACGGATGTTGAAAATGCAATAATTTCGGCTCTCGACATAATTATTCTTTTTGATTGTTGATATTTTAAAATTTATAAAAAAATATATATATATAAATTAAATAAATTTTAAATTGGTTCTTTTTTTTAAAAAAAAAAAATTTAAAACAAACGAAAAAGATACATTTATATTACTTTAATGAATAAGAAGATAATTTTATTTAATTTATTAGAATATTTATATACACACCACGTACATATGGATAATCATGTATATGTTATGTGTGATTAATAATAAATTAATTAATTAAAAAAAAATAAATAAATAAACAAATAAATAAAAAATAAGATAAATATAGAATGAATGATGATAAAATCAAGATGATATCCTGTGGCGTGAAAAAAAATTGCTGGTTTTGATTTATGTATTAATTGTATTACATGCCATGCATGACACGCTGTGCATTTTAAAAACTTGCGCACATATTATGAATTATGATTGTTATGTCCACACATTATGATAATCTGGTTTTGACTTCCCTCAACAGAATGTTTAACATATTTTAAATAGTTAATATATTTTATCTAATAATAATCTAATGATACATGGAAATACTGATACTGATAACTCATATTATTGGTTGGTTTGGGAAAATTGATATGAAAATTGGTGCTCTCTATTTTCATATCAATCTTCATAGATCAAGAAAGTTAGTTTTGGAATATACTTATCTGGATGGCTTGTAATATATCAATAATAAACAATACTAAGTAATATCAAGCAAAATTTACTATTTTATGGCTTCATCAAGCAAAGCTTAAAGGAATATCCCTTGGTCATTTATATGTTTCTGATCTTTCAATATTCTGAATATTTCACACCAACTACATGTCTTTGATGTATAAGTTTCATTTTGAATTATCACATGGTTTCCATTCTCTTCTGCTTTTGAAATTAATTATTGTCAAAACTTGTAATGAGACCAACAAAGCATCTTTCTAATTGTTTTTTTTGTTATCTTGAAAAAGAAATAACAGTTATATCAAATTCATTAGTTAAGAACTTGATTGTTTTTTGACAAATTTTATTCTGCAATTGTTTAATCTTTTGATATATATAAGATAGCTTTGTAAATATATAGTACTTTCTTCTTTTTTCATTTTGACATTGAAGAGATTAGTTTTTCTTTTTTTGATATAAGATTATTTATATGTTTACATAAATGAAAGATATGTCCTATATCATATTTTTCTATCTTGTCTGTACCTTTTGTTGAAGAATATCATATGAATGGAGTACTTATATCAGTGTTATAGAATTAGCTAAAATCAGTTGTCTGCAAATTGACCATTCAATTATTGATAATTTTAGATAATTTTTGAATGATTTTTGATAATAAAAATGAAAAAATTAATAATTTTTACTTTTTTGTTAGCAAAATATCAAAAATGTTATTAAGTAAAATTATAGTTAAGAAATAAATATACATATTAAATATATTAAATAAATTTTAAACCTAAAGATTACAAATTAAAGAAAAGAAAAATATTTAAATTTTAAATATTTATTCATAATTTAAATGTCTAACTTATACTTGTACACAAAATTATTTTGAAGCTCCAAAATTACAACTTCAAAAAAAAAAAAGTTAAAATAGTTTTTCATAAAAGATGAAATTATTTTACTTAAAATTCAAAATTTTTTAACTACCCAGATAAATTCCTTGATTAAAGATATACTTAACTAGATATTTTTTTACTTCTATATATAAAATAAATTTTGAGTAAATTTCAAAAAGATGAAATATTCCTCAAAAATTAGAAATTAATTTTTAAAACATGTATAGTTTAGCTTTTTTTAATTTGTGAACTTTAGATCTAAAATTTATTTATCAAATGTATTTAGTTCTTAACTATAATTTACTAGTATATTTTTATAATTTAATTATAAATTTAAAACTTTTATATGTAACTACAATTATTAATTTTATATATAATTCAATATTATATATTGTTATCTGTGTAAACCTTCTACAATTTTACAAAGACAACTGGATAAAACAAGATTAAAACTAATAACAAAACTAAATAAAACTATAAGAATTACTAATCTCAAAATAAAATAATCATGATATAAAAATTTATATGTAAAAGGAATTAAGTACGATCAATTATGAAAGAGGTGTATTTAACTATTAACAGTGATATAAAGACTTGTTAATAGGAGCAAATAGTTTATCAATTATTAAAAGAATATGATAAACAAGTAACTCAAAGGATTTTTATAATATTAACTTTATTACTTAACAAATTCTAATTTATTCGAAAACTAAGAAACTGATTAGAAAAAAAACTGAAGACTAAGTTGAAGAAATTCTCAGCCTTTATATACATTATGATTTTAATTGTTAAGCTAACTTGTAATCTGACTGTAAATTTTACTAGTAACTATGCTAATATTCTAACTGGTATCTTAACTGTTAATTTAACTTGTACTTTAACTGAGATATTAACTCATACTCTGGCTTGTACTCTGATTTGTATTCTAGTATTATAGATTAACAAGAATTTAGGAATTTACTGATTTAAGTAATAATATCTAATTTGTACTACAGACTATTAAATTGATTTACTGTAATACTATATATAATGATAAGAAATATATAATAACTAATAATAAAATAATATATATACAAATAAATATATAAATATATAAATAATTAATAAAAATAAAGATAAAAGCAAAGGTAACAATATATAAAAATATAAAATTATTAATTAATATATAAAATTAACAATCATATCTACATATAAAAGCTTTTAATTTAATAACTAAATTACAAAAAAATATTATTAAGTAAAATTATAATTAAGAATTAAATATATCTACTAAATAAATTTTAGATTAAAATTTATAAATTAAAAGAAAATCAGGTATTTAAATTATGAATGAATATTCAAAATATAAATATTTCTTTTTCTTTAATTTGTAAGATTTAGTTTTAAAAATTTTTTAGTAAATGTATTTAGTTTTTGTTATAATTTTACTTAGTAATATAATATTTTTAATAAAAAAAGTAAAAATGATTAATTTTTTTTTTTATTATCAAAAATCATTCAAAAATTATCAAAAAATCAAATTATACTTGTACATTGAAATCTTGAAATTACAATTTCAAAGAAAAAAAATCAAAATAATTTTTTATAAAAGATAAAGTTATTTTAATTAAAACTCAAAATTTTTTAACTACTTAGATAAGTTCCTTGATTAAAAATACACTTAACTAAATATATTTTTTACTTTTATATATAAAATAGATTCTGAGTAAATCTCAAAAAAACAAAATATCTCAAATATCAAAAATCAATTTTAAGAATACATATAAATCAAATAACTAATTTACAAATCAAATAATTGATTTTAGTTAATTTTCAGATAATTTACAAATTGCCAACTAATTTTATAATATGAATCATCAAAAAATTTACTAATTTTTAATTATTCAACTAGTGTCATATATCTAATAAAATATTTATTTATTTGTTTTTTGTATATATGTATATTTACTATTATAGGAAACTTTTTCTGTTGATCACTTGTACCAAATATTTTCACAGTAGAGAAATATAATTTTTCATTGTAGTTACATATAAAACTTAGTTATTTTTCTATCTTTTTATTTGTATGGATAAGAAAAAATATAAATACAATATCA